TCCAGGATGTCTGGCTCAAGGTCAGCAACCACACTATCTGGCTGACCCGGGACATCCAGATCTTTCTAGTATAATTCCTCTGTGTATTCTTGCCACCTCTTCTTGATGTCTTCTACTTCTGTTAGGTCCCTACCATTTTTGTCCTTTATCATGTCCATCTTTGCACAAAAGGTTCCTTTAATATCTCCAATTTTCTTGAACAGATCTCTGGTTTTTCCATGTCTATTACTTTCCTCTATATCTTTGCACTGTTCATTTAAGAAGGCCCTCTTGTCCCTCCTTGCTTTTCTTTGGAAGTCTGCATTCAAGTCTGCTTCTCTGAGTTACTCAAGCCCCATATGAGGCCCTAATGGACACCTGTGTTTGCCCCTGAAGCCAGCCATAGCCCCCCCTCTAAGGTCCCGTCTGCATGTCTTTCACAGGAGGGTGAATCTGCTTGTAGGTAGGGTCTGGAGGCAGGGGGAGCACACACTTTGTTTCATAGGGCAGAGGGATATTCTGAAAGCAAATCTGTTCTTATCACTTTTTTCAAAGCAGCTGGGAAACAGGGAAGACAGAGGGTTGCAGAAATGGATGGAGGGAGCACATGAAAGCCAGAAAGCCATACCGTACTTTAGCCAAAGAGCTGCTTTCTCCCATACAGGCTTATTCATATGTTGATGTGATCATCTGAGGACCTGCTTTGTGTGTTCCTGCATCTTTAGTAGTTAGACAGAGTATTTTTTTACTGTGTTGTCCAGATTGTGGGTTGCTCCCTAAGCAACACTCAGTACCTACTGTTTTTCCCCTTTTTGGTTGCTGATTTTAAAACTGCTTTTAATTTACAAAAGCATTTCGTTTATCGCCATGTTATGTGATGATTGTTCATTTCTGCTGTTCAGTTTCTGTTGCTGTTCTGCTTTTAGCTTTGTTCCTATATTTTATTTTTGCACTGGATTTTCAAATCTTTCATATTTGCTGCCCCAAGACATTAGTCCTGCACTGCATCTACTGGACTGGGAGTAAGTCTTACTTAGTATAGGATATACTAATGAGTACCTGTGTACAGAATTGTTTTGTTAAAGGATGCTATTGTAAAATAGAGCTCTCTTAAATATTTCTCTTTCCATGTTCCTGCCCTTACAAATTCATTGCTTTTCACCAGGGATTCTCTTGACTGCAGTGAAGGGGAAAGAGTTGTTTTACTGTTTGATATATTAGTAGAAACAAATGGCCCCTAGTGAGTTCAGCAAAGGGCAGGTTTTACAAACAATCAAGTAGCCTCTACAGACAATCCGGCTTAAGTGGCTGGCCAAGGGAGTCTCTTAGAGAGAAAGAAAATATATTGTTCCAGTGCTTTCTGAGTTGTATGGAGAAGCCCCTACTCATCTGTGCCCTAAGGCTAGTGAGCTCTTGCTCTCTGTTAGTAATTACAGCGAGCATCTACAGTCTGAGTGAGCAAGTGTAGGAAGGAGAGGGACCTTTTCCTTACTTGTTTTTCAAGCTCTCTTTCTTTGACAGTGCAACCCAGCATCCTGGGGGTTTAAGATTTCCTGCCATTGAGATGGCATCTCAAATGTACAATAGCCACAGGAAAAATAAGAGGCATAAAAAGAACAGACTTGCTTACACTGTGTCTGGCTTGAAACGTTGATTTGATTCTCCTATGAAACCTGGCAGGGACTTTTTCTGAGAGGAATGGCCCACCTTACTTTCTCTGTGGCATGTGTTTCCTTCTTGTGTGTATTATTTGTTTCCCTCTCTTTGTCAGGGAACATGTTTCCATCATTCCTGCTGATGTCACTGGTAGCTGAAAACACATTCCTACATAGCAGCAGTAGGAGTTTGACCTTTTTTTGTTCGTTGTAACAGACGTTTTCCGTAATCTGGATTCTGTATCCTATATTATGTATTCTGCAATTCCATACAATTGTAACATACTGAGAGGCCCACGTGTGACTTTCAGAGCTTGACTTCCTCTACATCCACCACTGCTACGGGGAGGAATTAACTAATTTCATCTTGTTTCCTCTCTTTTTGTGTTTTTTGTTTTATTTTTATTTGTTTTGTTTTGTTAGTACTTTCCTGGACGTCTTGTAGTCATGAACTATCTTCACAACCTCGACTTGTGGCTGAGACCAAGGACAAATGTTTCACAGAATAATTGGGAGGAAGCTCTAAGGAATAAAGCAGAGGTACGCCGCAGAAAACAATGAGCTATTGTTTGTACCCTAAAGGGATGGAGTATTTTTTCCCATTTTCTGGCCATTTTCTTCTGAAACCTCATTCTGCACAAACTGTTACTGGAATGATGGATGTTGTAGTCCATCAGACTGGGAGTATGCAAGGCTGAGAGAAGTTTTTCTAAGGTATGCCTTAGTTTATGCAGGAGTGAAGATCAAATCCATTTAGCCTACCCATCATCCTGAATGTACATCAAGAATCTAGCCAGAGATTCCCCTAATCTTAAAAGCCAAAAATGTCTTAAAGATGCTCAGCCACTGGTGTATAATTGAAGTACAGTGGTGCCCCGCATAACGGGCACCCCGTTTAACGATGAATCCGCATAGCGATGGTTTTTTTGCAATTGCAAAAGCGATTGCATTGCTATGTTTTAAATGGAAAAACATCGCTCTAACAGCTGATCGGCGGTTCCAAAATGGTCGGCGGGTAAATAAAACGGCCGCCCGCAGTGTTTTCGCGCCCTTTCCTCACTTACTGGGCAGCGAAAATGGTGGCCGCATGGAAGATTTTCGCAGAACGGTGAGTTTTTTGCCCATAGGAATGCATTAAAAGTGGTTTAATGCATTCCTATGGGCTTCTTTGTTCCGCATAGCGACGAATCCGTATAGCGACGATTTTTCCGGAATGGATTATCGTCACTATGCAGGGCACCACTGTATTTAGCTTGTTAAATGATAGGTGCTGGCAATATATTTCCATTCCTGCTGGTCTTCAAAAGATCAACATTTATTGGACACATATATCTTAAATCTCATCAAGCATATGTTTGGCCTACATGTTCTCTATGATACGAACATTTAAAAGAAATTAGTGAGAAATCAGCTGCAACATTAGGCACTGAACAGTTAAAGAAGAAAAGAGCTTTGCTATTTACAAATAGTTTAGAAAACTGATTATAGAATATAGTATTTATGGTGAAACTAGCAAAATGAAAGAGTATGTGATTTCTGTATAGGAGATCAAAAAACACTTATAAGAACTGGTCAATATTCATAATGGATTAGAATAGAGCAAAGGGATAGTAATTATCTATATTCATTTGAGGGTGTATTCTTCCCAGCTCAATTAGATTTATTTGGAACGAGGGGGAAAAAGAACATCACCCGAAGTCCCTCCTTTCCAAACCACAAATAATGCATTGAAAAGTTCATTCATCATTTCTGAATTTTGCACTGCAGAGTCTCTGCTAAGCATCTGAGATGAAAACCAGGATGCCCTAGAACACATTTTGAAAACTACCTTTCTGCTGTTTCTTTCCTTTCTCTCTGTCCTGCCCTTTTCCTGCAACCTTGACATACCAAGAGAACCTTTTTCTGACCCTCTCTTTTTAGCTTCCGTACGCCAGGTTGCCAGAAAATCCACTCTGGGTAGGATGTCAAGGAAGCAAACCTGAGCTCAGAGGCTTTCCATGTAGTCTCTGGACTCTCTTCCACCTCCTGACAGTGCAAGAAGCTCTGCTTAGTCCTAACCATGCCTGTAAGTAATGCACACACTGCTTAGCGTTCGGTATTTTAAAGTTTTGTTCCTAACCATTACTTTTCATTTCTGATAACAATTCAGCTTTAAAGTGGAAGATCTGGATTCATATCCAAGTCATTGTTTTGTCTCAGATCGGTCACTAGTCTTAGATGTACACCATTTTTGTGTCTAACTAAAACAAATAGTTCTTTAATATGTGACTTTAATATAAACATACCATTTTGGAACTACCCACAAAAACTTGGTGCACAGCCTGAGGAAGATGAATTATCATTGATAATTGCTTTATTTTTTGTTTAATTTTCTTAATGGTTTAAATGTATCACCTGTTCTTACATTTGTATTGTTCTTTTTCGTGGTCTCTGTGAATGCACACATATGGGTATTGTCAGTGCCTGCGCTGACGCTCTCGGAAGATTCTAGAGCTAAAAGTAAGAATTTTATGGTGTGATCCTCCATGAGGCATATGCTCCTCCCACCCACCATCTTCCTCAGTTCCTTTTTTCCGGGGAGCTGAATGGTTCTCAGGAAAAATAGAGTGCTTTGCTATTGCCTTTTGGCTATTTTTCTAGGCTCTTTTGAGCTTTTGTTTGTTTTCTTTACCTTAATTACACTACTTAGTGATCCTCCAAGCCCTTTGTTTGCTTAACTGACTGGCTGCGGTTCTTTATTTTTTCCTCCCCCCGCCCCGTCCTTTCTGTTTTCTTTTTGCTTATGGCCTCTCCATCTCCTTTTAAAAGGTGTTCAACCTGTGCAAATAAAATCGCACTTTCGGATGCGCATAGCCAGTGCCTTTTTTGTTTGGGTGAACACCATCCTACCCATTTGTGCCCTGCTTGTAAAAGCCTCACCAAACCGGCACTAAAACAGAGGCTCCAAAGACTTCGGTCTTACCTTTGGCAAGCAGCCATGAATCCCACTTCATCCTCAGAAGCGGCCAGATCACCAGGTCTTTCTGCTGATAGACTTCCAGCGGGCCAATCCACTTCTGATTCGACTCCTGTGCTACCAGTTAAGGACACTGTTGACAAAGCAAAGGCGCCTGGTAAGCACAAGTTGCCACCTTCTCAAAAGTCTCTAGCACACGATGCTGGCTCGAAGAAGAAGCCCAAGCCCGCTCCTAAAAAACCCAGAAAGGACAAACTCCCTAGAGTGGAACTCCCGCAGCCCTCTCTGCATTCCCCTCTCCTAGAGGAATCGTCCAGAGAAGTCCCCGACTTGGTCTCGGATGGAGATGACGCCCATGATGCGGTGCCCCCCCCATGATGCTGCCCCATATCCCGAGCATTGGCCTCAGCGCGGCTGCGCCACAGTCCAGCCCGGCATCAACCCATTCCAACCCGGACTCAGGGAGGGCACCTGAAAGCTCGGCTCGGTTCCTCCCTCTCCTCCAAGAAAAAAACGGAGAAGAGAAAGCATGTCTCTCCACCGGCATCGGCCCCATCGCATGGCGACATCTACCCTTTTCCGATGGTACCATACCATTTTGACCCCCTTATGTGGCGATCCTGGTACGGAGGATACCAGCCTGACCAGGCTAAGCGACCAAGAATGACATCGGAGCTCCCTTTCTAAACCCGGCTCGCCCTCATGTGACTGCCCTGGCCTTGAGCGCTGTGGCCCCTTCCGCTCGCCCACTCATTCTGTCCAAGCGGATGCGCGATAAAGTTCACGAGGCCTTGCCCCCAGAGCCCGAACTGTCTGACCCAATACCATCTCAGGTTGCCTTCGAACACCTCCTGATCCAGGAGCATCAAGCTCCCCCTGCGGAGGGGTTTGGTCCATCGGACTACCCCTCATCTCCAGGCTTTCCTGCATCGTCGGAGGCACACCGGAATCCTCCCATGAGCCCGAACCCCCGCCTATCCCAGGTACAAGGGGCAGCCATGCTTCATCCTCTTCGGAGTCTCGATGTCGAACAACCTCCATCCACTGATGTCGACCCCGTATTCAACGACATCGATCAGGAGAGACAAGTTCCTTTAAGTCCTTTAAATCCATTCTTTGTCTTATTAAAGACACTTGGGGTAAACCTCCTTCCATCATGCAAATATCTCGCCGCACCGATGGTCTCTATCGAACCCACTGTGCCGGTGCCGAATTCCTCAACCAACATCCAGTGCCCAACTCTATCATAGTTGAGTCCAGCCAGACACGGACCCAGACCAAGTCCAAACCAACCCTTGCCAATAAGGATGGCAGGAAAGTTGACACCATGTCCAAGCGGATATATTGCCTACAGGCTTTCTTACTTAAAACTGACAGCTATCAAGCGACCATGGGCGCCTTCCAGCGTCATCTCTGGGACCAGATCCTCCCCATTGAGGCTTGTCCTGAACCCATGAGATCTGATCTCATCAATATACATTCACAAGCTATTTCTCTGGCCAAGTACCAAAGAATTACAGCGCGTCACTCTGCTGAGGTGGCCGCGAAAACACTGGTCACTGCTATCTCCATTCGACGCCATGCCTGGGTCAAATCTTCCACCATTTCTGATGACACCAAGTCACGTATTGAGGACTTGCCCTTTGATGGTGCTGGTCTCTTCAACTCCACGACTGACGATACCATGGAGAACTTTCATAAGAAGCGCAAGAATGTGCGTTCTTATTCTACCCAGCCGTCTTCCGCTTACCATCGGCCTTTCTACCGCTCGACCCAATTCCAGTCTCGACAATATCAAACCCAGAGATATCAACC